GAGTTCAGGCGTTGAGGAGGGGATCGGCCACTATCCTGTCCTTTTTGAGGCCATTTGTCCTTCAAGCTGCACACTAAACGCACCTGCTAAGGTAATTTCTCTGCATTTGGTAGCGCCGACGTGAACATTAAGTAGGTATACCCTAGGCTCTGATATGATGCTGGGGCTATGGATTGGTGGTGTCTGGACAAGTTGAGGGCACTTTGTACATGTTTTGGAATGCGAAGCAATTCTTGGGACGTAACTTTCTAGTACTTGGTTTCTAAAGCCCTGTCGGCTCAGCGGTTACTATATAAGAAGAACCACGTATCAAAAGCGCATCATTGCGAGTATTTCACATAATATCGGAACAAAGAGGCTTATAGCCCTTGTCTTGAAACTATTTAGCTCTCGATATGTTGTCAATCGTTTTAAATATTACGACAATTAAAAGGTCTAGGCGAGTACACATTTCGCGGCAATATATCTCTGACCAGCGTAAACAACATGTAGGGCGGGTAAGCTTTAAGCAATCGAAATGGCTCTCGATATTTCATACGCGGTGCAGATCTCGATTCTTGCATGTGTTACTATCATGGCGTCACATTGATACCTTCAGGGCTAAGGGTGGTATAGATGAGCTCATGACCTGGGAGAAGTGAAATCACATCATCGTCAGGATTCCAATAGGAATGTGTGACAGGTTTGTCAAGTTAAATGCATGGGTAGACATCCAATAAACCTTACATAGGGAGGGCTTGAACCGGGCTTAGAGAAGAGTATAGATGCATGAATAATCTTCTAAAGCACCAGGCGTCCCGTGGCCTTCTGAATAGCTTCTGAGAATAACTTGGAAACGCTTGGTATATGAAGACATCAAATCGGGGCCTCGGATCTTATCCGAGACCGAATGGCATTAACCACTGCCGGCTGTATGCCCTAATCCATTAAAGCAAGGGCTGAATAGCAGATTACCGGAACCCGAAATATGGAATGATTACTATATTGGAGACCAAGGCTGGTCTCATGACGACAACTTTATAGCGAGGGCAGGGGGTTAGCAAGTAATTGCCTCCGCGGTTAGATCATGGTGATCTACTATGTGGTCACAAGCCACGTGCACTATATCCAACGTGATGATCTACAATTGCCCCTGTGGCTTTTGCTAATTTCCAAAAGTGCTTACCAGATAAGGATCACTGGCTGAGATCGATCTGGCTTCCCGTAGGAAATTGGATCCTGCTGGCTTAGGTATTATATCACATCATATCACGATTTTCTTGCCGGGAAATTCATCGGTGAGGTTCTTCCGAGGGCCCAATATCCACTAAATTCATAATTTCTGCCACTAAAGAACCCTATAGAGACCCCCAACCAGCTCACATAGCTTCACTATCCATCATTCAATTATGGAGGTGTTGCCTGGACCGCCTAATAAGTGAGATGCAGCAAATAGACTTCGCCTTCTACCATCATGACCTGTAATATGATTTTGCTTCACAGGTAGCTCTAGTGCTACCTTTGCCTTTAGTTACCTCTGTCACACCTTCTAGGTTGGAATAAAGGTGTTGTACACATAAGTGTGTGTATCAGTTGGTGATAGACTAGACTCTTCGCGTAACAACGAACATTTATCACCCCCCTCCCCCATAATTAGGTCATGACAACCTCGTCCATGTTCCTCAGACGAGGGATAATGAGAGCACGATTGTGGTCGCGAGCGAACGACGGGCTCCAAGCACCCCCCTATGGTTCTCAATTTTCGCCTAATTGGGCACTACCTAAGGTAGGACGTGTAATTAGTTAGGCTCGAAGGCTTGAAGACGGACTTCCCGTGACGGATAATGCCGTATATGCACTTTGATAGGACTCGGGGGCTCTATACGTTTCGATGGTCTGGTTGAAATTTTCATTCGGACTTAGCCTAGCCGGAATTACGAAGGCTATATATGCGGCGTAATTTATGTGGCTTACTTCACCGTATAAGTACATATTTTGTTGCTCACAATGAAACCAGGTGGCTTGGTAGCTCAGTGGCAGAGCGTGGGATTGCAGATCCTAAGGTCATCGGTTCGACCCCGGTTCAAGCCTTGCAATATTTAGTAATATAGTCGCTGCTTAGTCCGTAAGCCTGATTTCTTTTTATCTGCTTAATATCGAATCATAACTTACCTTAACCCCTGCGTGTTAAAAATTAGTAAGGACAGCTGATTGGTAAGTCGTTGCGCTAGTCTATATTGATTACTGTAGTGTTTTGCCTATCTAGGTATAGATAGGCAGATAGAGCGACAACAGATCAGCCCTGAATCCGTTTAGGTGCTCAGCTATCCATCCAGGGTCATTTCTTCCAAGTCTGTGCCCAATGTGCCGTCAACATCGGGGAGGAACAAGTCTTTCGGGCTAAGGCTTAGTACGACTACGTTCACCCTATATTTTTCTCTAAGGCGGATGGTTTTTCTCGTCTACTCGCCTTCACGCCCTCTGACTGTTTCCTCATCTCCTCTAGTGAGTCGAAAAGTGCACAGGCGGCAAGGGCAAGCCGGCCTAAAGCTCGCCGGAGCTTATTCCCTTTTGATCTTCCGGCGGCGGCCGTTCGGACTGTTTGGGGGTGTGTATGGCATGGGTATTTTGGATCCATCGTGAATTCATGAAGCTGAGCTCAGACGGAGGACAGTACGCGATTTGGTGGAGCGCAATCTAGAGTCCCTCCGGGGGTAGTATTCTACGAAGAACCAGTTGAACAGCCACAGCTTGTCTACTGAGTCTGCTGGCAAGAGTTTGAGAACCGCATCCTTCAACCAAGGTTCGCCCTGGTATGTGGCTCTCGGCATGGCACGCTGGGAGTCATGGCCCAAGTATAGGGGGGTTGATAAACATTCGTTGTTACGCGAAGAGCCTAATCTATCACCAACTGATACGTACACTTATGTACACAACGCCTTTGTTCCAGCCTAGAAGGTGTGACACTGGGTCCCGATGGCGGTGAAATATGCCTTGGGAGAGCGTTAGTACTTCGGCCAATATTGGGTAGTCGATTGGCCATTGGAAATTCATGACTTCCTCAAGCCGTCTCTGGTTCTCTTGCGTCTAAAGCTTTTCAATTTCCTTTCCGCGTGGGTGGTCGACCATCGTTTGGATGAGCTCATGGCTGGGAATGGTGGCGACCAAAAGGGATAACCCATGCTCGATTCAGAGAGTAGTTCCCAAAGAGTCGCGTATGTCGGTGCCCCAACCGTGAATACCAAGTAGCGCTCCTCGTTGGGATTGGCCGGGACGACTCGCGTTGGACACGTAAATTCCTCGACTTTGTGACCACAGCCGTACTCGTCTTGCTAGTAAAGCATAGAACGCGTGATGTCCCGGTGCGGGCCGCTCAATCTGCCAGCGCCCCCATTCTATCAATACTCGATAGCTGGCTGAGGGTCCTGCCGATGCGCTGCTTTCGGTTGATTCTATGCCAAGACTTTCTGAATGCTCGAGAGTGGCTTTACGGAGCATCCAGACAGTCCAGACATGAACTCCTGCATCAACCAGTTGTAGAGCTTCTTCCATGACCCATGTAAGACTGTCTCATCATCGAGAGCGTTCGGGTTCTCCCGAGCCCCCTTGCTTGTCATGAAGCAACACAGGAGATGTGGAATCCTCACTGCGAGCTGTTAGAAGTTGTTTGCGCAGCGAAATAGCTCTTCCTAGTTGGTAATGCCATTGCCTAGGACAAGAACCTGTCTTCTATCTCGGTGACCTCAGCAGGCAGATCAGCCATGCTCGTCGTTGGTGAGATCCTGGATCTCCTAAAGCTACGCGTAGTTAATAACCTGCTTCTAAACATGGTTAGCAGCCTGTTCTACTCGGGAGCGACGTAACTCGTATCTCACGAGACTCACCGGTTCGTACTTAGTGGCGTCCCAGTCCGCCTCTATCGGCCCCATTCTCGGCTGGTGGTTGGATCCATGCGGAATGGAACCTATAGCTCTGAGCCGAGATACGCCAACGGGTGTTGCAGCTTTCCCTGCTAGTAATCTGACCTTTCCCTCGACGGCTCTCGTGGCATTGACATCATCGGCCAAGAGGGCCAAGAGGGCCAAGAGGCGGCCGGTTCCTTCCCGCCTCCTGCCCAGCCAGATATCAATCGACGTAAGTGGAGCATGTCGTACTGAACCCCTATTCAACACACTTCCCCTTGAACAGATCCAACGCGTGTCCAAGTTCCGGGATCGCCTAATCCCACTACCACCTTCCAATCGCGATCCTGTCGTCGGGAAGTGTCCACTTCATAGTTGCAGAGATGTATGCTTCCAAGTTGGTGTTTCGGTGATTAGTAATTGGGATCCAGTGTATAAGACCGTTCCGATATCATCATGGTCGTCTAGCGGCCGTACGTCACGACGACAAGGGGATCCACCGCATGAGAAGCCTGAAGAAATAGCTCAAGTACAGGTCCCTTGCCTCCGGGAGACACTTTCTGCCATGGAAAAAGGTCCTTAAAGGGCAGGCACTAATGCACCACAAGCTAAGGGACTCTCCTTCTGCCTCCACCTCCCGGTCGTTCCGGCAGTCTACATCTGCCGCGTGGGGGACGTGCATTCTGGGTGTTGTGTAATGGCACAGCTAATAAGGTATCGTGACCCAAGCATTAGGGGGGGCGATAAACATCATGGATTCGTTGTTACGCGAGGGGCCTAATCTATCACCAACTGATACAAACGCTTATGTACACAACACCATCTTTGTTCCAGTTTGGAAGGTGTGACATAAGGTGACGGGAAAAGTTTCGGCCGAAAGACGAATACAATAGGACTTTGGTTAGTGCGAAAATATCCGCATTGGCTCAGCAAAAGGTAAGAGAAGTCCGCCGGAAGAAAGCTAGTTGATGCCATATAACTCCAAAGAAGTATAATAGCGCTATACGGTAAACGGTATCACTTAACTAAAGGATCAGAGGGAAGAAGAAGAAAAAACAAGAAACAGGAAAAAAGACTTCAAACAAAAACCCCCCAGAAGAACAATAATGAGAAGAGGAGAGGCTTGAACCAGAGTCGAACCACTAAGGATCTGCAATCCCACGCTCTACCGCTGAGCTACCAAACCACTTGATTTTGACGCAAATAATGGAGGTAATCGACTCGCAGGTACCGTGAGGGGTAGGCTTCTACACTGTCCTTCGTATCTTCCCAACAGTAAGGGGTAGATTAGTAGTTGAGTCGGTGACGACCAGATAATCCTTGGTGTTGTATGTTGTCAGGACTGGGTTGAATATGACACTTGTCGATGCATGAGGCCTCTGGAATACCCTCGTATCTATGTTACTGCTATATACAAGGCTCTCTTTATCCCATAGTGAGATTGTGGCAACTGATCGTGACATGTGTTTTTGTTGTCGTAGCTCTTGAGGATCTTACCAGCGATCTACTTTGTGTCTGGAAAAGCAATGTGAGGCATTTGTTCACAATAAAAGGCTTAGGTCAATAGTTAGTCCCCTAAGCAGTCTCAACACCGACGGGTTGGACAAGCTACATAATTCCAAGACGACAACTCAATGATTGATTAGAACGACGTGATGTTGATTTACTATCTCGTCGAAAATGATTGGTTCAAGATTAGCGGCTAAGGAAAGGTGATGCGAACGAGCAGTGTCAACTTATTCCACTCATCTACCTCCAGCCCTCTTGATTCATGTGCTGCATTTCAACTAAGAAACCATCTATCGTAGATACCTTGCGTCTCCATCTTTTCATTTTGATTGATGTCGGTTGACTGGAAAGTATAAGCCAAGCGTTCACAGGTGTCTGTGGAGGAAGTTTTCTGGGATTGTCATACCTGAGAGATACGCGGCCGCCACCTAGAAAAACGACTCAATCCCCTAAATTCGGCGTTTCTACAAACTAGCATTCAAGTTCCCGTGGTCTGCTCTAGGCGATACCTAGGGCGATTGCCATGCTGGGTCCGGCACTGTTGCTCCGGAGAAAGTTGTCGAGAGCCTCCTCAACTGGTCCTTTGCGGGCACGGTCTCGTGTGAGCTGACTCTTGTCGACTCCCTTGGGAGCCCAAGTCACATCGACATCATAGAGGTACTTCTTGATCTCGGTCATTGCGCCGGCGTAACAGGTGGTCATGACGGAGATATAGCGGGCGTGCTCTTGGCCGTCGCGCCCCACGAAGCGAAGCCCATCTAGGGAGTCGTCCATGGGGGGGAGAGCACCGTTGTCCTTAGTGGCAGCCTCGGCAAAAATGGGGGAGATGCCAACAATGCAGGTGCCCACAAGGAAGGCCTTGACGACTTTGGCGGGGTTAGGGTCGGCGCCTATAGTGGCATCAGTTACCTCGGCTTTCCGGTTGTCCGAGTTGATAGACATCCTATAGATGGCAGGGCACTTAGTTAGTGAGAGAAGCTCACTTGATGGATAACTTATAAGTGTGGTAGGAACAAATCTGACAGATGTTTGACATTACATACCTTGGAGAATGAATGTTGGTGGCTAACGACGATACTGAAGGAGTGTTTCGCAGATCGCAGGTCGCAGGTCGCAGGTCGCAGGTGAGGGTGGCAAGCCACGGTTGGTAGCATATGCCGTGTAGGTAAGCTGTGGAAAAGGCGGGATGGGAGGTAAGAAGGTTACAAAAGTGCGGGTATGAGTCGATCTTGGAAAGAAAAGCTTCAGCGTAAAAAACTGTGGGAATTGCCTATCGACTTTGATCGGTTGTGTGTTTTGTGGTTTGTGGTGTGTGCCTGCCTGGGTAAAAGAGTTGGCGTTGCCTTAAGTACCTAAGGTAGGTAGATGTACCTACTCACGTACTCAACTATTTACATGTAAGTAATTTCGAAGTCGACAAGAACTTGAAAGTACCTAGGTACTTACATTAGTTATATCGGTGTGTGTCCTACGAAATGAATGAGCCCGTCCCGCGCCGGACGGAAGATAGAGAATTTGGTAGCGTTATCAACTTAATCTGCAAGAATGAACTCCAATGCAACATATTCAAGGACTTGAACCGAGTTATCATGATCAAGCAACAGAGTCTTGGTCATTTTACTGTGTCGCAGGTCATACTGGAGCTTTGGTAGTCCATTGTCATCGACCTCAATATATGTCAGGGGATAATGTAGCCGCAGGGTAGAAGCTACTCACCTTGGTGGGACTAGTATATCATTCGGATATATAAGGAGGAGAGGCTTAGGAATTAATAACATTAAGACTTTATACCTTATACTTTTATTTAGCAGTGACTTACCTGTGACCTACCTTCACTCCGGAGACGAAACTTTCTGACAATATATTACAGCGGTTACCGTCTGCTCTCTTATGAACTCTATGCGTCAAAAGTTGTATATAAGCGGCTAGAACATACGATTATAAGTTCCCTATATAATATTGTTGACATTGAACCTCTTCGTTTTCGCCAGGTTTCTTATATTACTGGGTTATCATATATCCAGAGTTCTAGTTAGGATTTTCAATTGAAGTGCCAGGTAGGTATTAATCAGTAGATATTAATCTACTCTTTTTTGCGTTAACTTGGTTTTTTTTAACGAGTATTTAGAATGTTTTAAGAGAGCATCTCGAGTTAGGTTTAAATACTTCTAGCTTTCTTGCTATCTCTGCTTGGGCCTAATCTCTTGTCGTTTGCTTGATTCCTGCGATCTAATATGGGGAATGAATCGTCTTGTCGCTCTCCTCCACTTACTCACTTCCTTAATACTTCCGTCCCCATTCTTACTATCCTCCTTTTCAATCCCATTCCCCATGGATTTATCCTGTCGATCATCATTCTCTTGATCAAGGTCGTTTCCGTCTGGTTCGCGTACTACTAGGTCCAGGACATCTATGAAACGGTGTGACTCATCCCCATCTAGGTCATCGTCGCTATCATCCTCGTCAAGGTAGATGCGTTCAAGGGAGATATACACATCTGCGAGGCCGGTAATACTAAACTTCCACTCATCTCGAGGTATGGCCATATCACGTGTGCACGTGGCTTCCCCCCATCTTCAAAGCCGAAATTTGACGCATCAACAAGCGTTTTAAAAGATGCGAGATAGAGTCGTTCTTCAGCGTTAGCGGGTGTTTCGCGGCCACTTGATTTATTTAACATGCCGAAAGTAACGTTTTGAGGCGTGCTTTCCTGTGAAATTCTAAAAATGTTTAGCCCTAACCTAAACTGCCTACACCCTCTCCCCTGGGTCGGATCTTCGTGCGAATGGTCCAGAGCATTGAGTCGGAAGAAAAGGATTGAGAGCCCGTAACCGTTGACATTACGGAATGAACAATTTATAACTATGCCATGAAATGGGCTTAGTGATCTGATTTGATCTTCGAGAAACGATATATTGGCGTCTTTATGTATTGCGTATCTATATGCCCACGGCGTTGAAATTTTTCTCATCACCAAATCCGTGGCTTGTGGGTAATCAATCAACTGCGGTGCAACTATGAGTTCTGTTACTCTTTTTTTTTAAATCATAAGACTTAATCTGTGGGTAGCCAAAGAAGTCGCTGGCAATTATTTCGTGCATTCGGGAACAATGGTCGCCGCAATGGAAGACCGGAATACTAGCGTAGCAAAATTTTGAATCGTCCCACCATTCGCATAGAATTACAAGGTAGCTACTCTGAATTAGGCAGACTAATATATAGTACCTATTAGCCATTGTGCAATAGGAATTCCCACGCTCGGAAAATTTAATCAGCCAACCAGAGACCAAGGGGTTACTCACCCATCGGTGGACGTCTTTTGTGAATAGCAAGATGGGGCCCATAATTGTACAAAGGTAATTCCACGTGCGCAGCACGGCCGACTAAACTGAAAATTGAGGGGGTTGTCGATCCGAAATAGAAGTAGTTTGCCGTGTTCGGAGCACATACGACCTGGCCAGTGTCCTCGAAATCATCAGGGCTTTCGGCAAGCAAGCCAAAAAGCTTTTCCATTTCTCGGTTAGGCTCAAATTTTAAATCCAAAGGTTTTAATCCCCATATTTGCTCGTTGTCGTACACCGTGTTTGAGGGCTCCTTGACAACCTTGCCCCAAGCGAACAGAGAATGGTCTTGGGGGTGCTCGCGGACAAGAAGCTCCTGCAACCGTCTAAGGGCTTTCAGTCCCTCGCCGTAGATCATTGGCATATTCACATTGAAGATGCCAAGGAGGCAATATGCCACATCCTCCTCTCGTGACGTCGTTCGCTTCACCGCCCAAGACATCCTCTGTGCGATACTAGCTTTTTCAAGACTTCTTCCGGTCAAAAAGGACTCATCAATACGGGTGGTTCTCGCAAGATGAGATGAGAGCTTAGAACGTATTCCAAGGGCCTGCCAGCTATTTGAGTAGAAAACCACCTCACGAGGAGCTATCAACTCCTGTAATGTCCAGCCACGAGTTATCTAGCGGCTCTTTGCTAAGTTGGACTCGATGTCGTCCAAGACGTCGAAGAGATACACGTAGCAGACGACAGCACTTTTGTACCATTTGAACATGGAATTAATGGCTTCCGATAGCTCGACGCTGCTCCTTTTATCGATACAGCAACTTGATAGCAAGAGGTTAGCGACTCACTGTATAGTCTAGCTCTTGTTTCATCTTCGGATGCTCACGTATCAATCCAGACCCATTCGAGGCCCTCAGAAGCTGCCTGTTTGCAGCAGAGCCTGATCTTATTAAAGCCTTCCTTTTTCTCAACAAGCTTAAATGACTCATCTTGCCATTCTATAAACGAGACTTCCTCATCGCCCCAGGTATGGGATAGAATGGCGTAGGGTGGTGCTTGCTTATGAGAGATAAACTCCTTCATCTCCCAAGAGCAAGGGTTTAGCAACCACATGATGAATCGTAAGTAGCAAAATATCACACGTATGTCATCACGACAGTAGTTTCATCAAGGAAAAAGAAGAGAAGCACAAGGCTATGCGATGCGGGGATATCTGACAGAGTGCCGACTTTCTTTCGTGGGGGCTGCTTCGCTGCGCCTCTCAGGGGATGCATCTTCTATCTAATGCGGACAAGGGTAAGCAAGCCAATGAGCGATATGCTTACACCGAGCAGCTGATTATGAGTGGTATTCGTCATCCTAGGTTGCAGTCCTAGAATGCAATGTCTCC